AAACAGTCGATTTTCATAAATCTCTCTTGAAGTCAATTTTACATAAGAAAAATCGTTTTCCATGTACAGGAACAGATGGTAATCATTTGGTACCAGGTCTGGACTTATAAGGTGGGTGCATAAGAACTTTCCAACCAATCTCTCGGAGCTTTTGACGATGTGTGTAGCATGGCGATGGAACATAATTTCTCTCCTATTGATCAAAGCTGGCCAAAGACGGTCCAATTGTTTAAGTGGACAGTACAGTTTTGAGTTAAGAGTTTTGTCATAGCGGAACAGTTCATAATAGATGATTCTCTGCCAATTCCATCAAACGTATAGCAAAACCTTTCTGACCGTCAATAATAATATATAATGTGTATAACGTTGCGGTTCTTGGTGTTTACATTCGTAATATAGATTTTTGTGCTAAACTTCTTGATAAAAAAGTATTTCATAACTTTATACAGTAAAATACAATCATTATCAATATTTCTTATTAGTGCTTTTATTACGGATATTTAATTTTAAAAACGATTCTTAACAACACATACTTAAAGCAGCGTGAGACCTCATAACGATTGTGTGAATTAAATAATAATCTAAGTCTATTCCTAATTTTTGTTTGAATTTGGTAATAATAAAACACATTACATAAAAAGATAAGATTTTAAAACAAAAAATAGTTTCTGAATAGAGTTAGATCTTGAGTTAGATCTTAGCTCAGATATGGCTTTAAGAATACTTCAATTGTCCCGACTATTTACAGAGGCCAAAACGAAAGTTGAACCTAGGCACCAAAGAGTACGTAGTCTAGGTTCAACTTTCGTTTTGGTCTCTGTAAATAGTGAAGGCAATTGAACTATTCTTACCGCCATATCTGAGCTAAGATCTAACTCAAGATCTAACTCTATTCAGAAATTATTTTATTATCGCCATATCTGAGCTAACTTTCCTTCATTGTTTTCAAAAAATCAAATTAAAGTCAATCTAATTTACAGACACCAAAATTCGGTACACTTTAATGGATTGATAGGAGAGAAGGAAGGGGTAGGGGTTTAAGTTATTACTTGACTCTCTTTGTGTTATCTCTGTCATAAAGTAACACATGATAAAATTATACGAACTTAATTTGAACAAATGTAGTTTACCAAATACGTTTATGTATTTTGGTAGACAAATTCTCCATAAACTTAAATAAACAGTATTCCAATATTAAATAGTATTTGTAAGACACAACTAAAAGATTGTATCTATAAAAACGAAGTATACTCTCGTTACCCATTGAAAACATGTTTTTTTAAATTAAACTCAATTTTCGCTTCATTTGGTGCATTCTTTGTGAGATGCATAAACTGTGTTTTGCACTTTGCTTAGTAAACAGTTTTGCTCTTGCTTGTAAAAATATCTGTGATGTCCTAATAAATATTAAGGAGAATTCGCTGTTTTAGCGAATTGTTGAATTGTTGCTCTGTTGCAACATGACACAAAATATCATACGAAATATATTGACCTTCACAGCCATCAAGCAGTCGTCACTTCTGCATGAATCCATAAAACGGAACGATTGATTAAATCTACACAGCAAATCCACAAATCCACGAATGCAAATACAAAAATGTTATATATATATATATATTACATCCAAATGCACACAAACAAGAATATATACATATCTAAATGCAGCAGTAGATACATGCGAACTGATAGATATACAATGACAACTGCAACAGCTTGCCAAACTCGATGTACACTTCAACAGATTCGCAGTGGCAGTGATAAAGAAAAAAAAAACATGAACAACAAAAAAAAATATTTAGTATAAAATAACAGTTATGTGTTTTGTTTTTATTAAAAAAATGAAAAAAAAATAGAAATAAAACACAGGACTCCACAACATCATATCAGTTAGTTGAAAATGGCTTTAACATATATCTCACAGATAAGCGGCGGAACGAAGCTGTGCGTATAGTTTGCAATAAATTTTTATTATTTTTGCAGTTTCATGCTGGATATGCAAAAATTCTATTTCACTTGTTTGTGAGTTGTAATAAAAATATTGCATTTACTTTAGGAATTTCATAAAAATTCAGTGAAATGCACTTGCAGTTGCAGTTGCAGTTTTAGTATTTGGATTAGTTTGAAATTCAATGAATATGCATTTTAGTTTTGATTTGTAATCCTTTATGTATTCTCTGAAAGAAATTGGTCATGAATACTCATATTGAACTAACCAGCGTTATTATTAAAATATACTTAAGACTTAAACTTGTACTATTTCATTTTAAATAAAGTTAATACCAAAGTAATTGATTGTTTTAGGGATTTTTAGAAATATGTTTAAAATTGAATTCAAAATCATTATTATCCTTCTTATCTTAAATAAGATTGTATTACTAGTAAAGTAATAACTAATGTAGAAAGAAAAATGAAGTATATGAACGAGCGGCCGCAGTTCCAACCGTACGGAGCCTAAAAACTAGTCAGAACGTCTATATTTATTAGATAGATATTCTTGGAAAGATTTTCTAAATTAATTATTAAGGGTATAAATAATAAAACAATATATCTGTGTACAAGGCACTTGATGGCATTTATTTTAGTAATAGCCGTATATCATAATTATTAATATCAAAATGGATAATAGAATCAATAATATTATTGAATCTATAGAATCTATAATCTATAGCATCTATAATATTATGCTTGATATTATGTTGTAGACTTAATTGACACATGAAGATTATAGGTGTGGTAGAAAGTGACTCCTGTCGACTCTGTCATGAGGAGAAGGAAAAATCAGAACATGTTCTATGCAACTGCCCAGCGGTGGCAAGACGTAGACTCGATTACCTTGGAAGCGGGATATTAGTCCCAAGTTAAATAGGTAATTACAAATCTTGTAATTGATTTATAAATAGTCTGAAATATTCCTAGTTAAGCCTTTAGGCGCACGATAGATTTTTTAGGTCGGGGTGCTTTAATAGCCTATTTCTTAAATAATAAATTATGCTTGAAAATATTTTTCTAAGCTTACTTGTTTAATAAATACTTTTACCACAGAAAACAATACATTTTTGTTTACGGTCCTTGACTGTGTTCGTTTTAATATAAGCAATCTATCCTTACTATTACTTCTATTATTTCAAAAAGTATCACTGTAATTTATGAGAGCTAGCTACTTTTGGAAACACTTTTGTAAACTAACCTTCACAAATTAAGGATATTAATCACTGAAATAAAATTTCCGTCTTCACTGCATTTCTTTTATTTTGTGCGGCAGGGTGGAGACGAATGTCTACATACTCACCACGATCCGGTGTCCCGGAAAGTGAGAGCGCCTCCCCCTCATTCCTGAACCTATTAATAATCTGACGGCTTTTCCTCATATTTTTTTAGTTTGGTAATATGAAGAAGAAGACACAAGCCCTTTTCTGAAATAATTGCATTCCAGGACAACAATTTGTAAATAGAGTAGCCCACTTGAGTTAGGGCTTTTCTCGTGTCTAGTATATACTTCCCTCTTGATCTCTGTTAATAATCAAAGATATTTAGACTACTATAATTGGCATTTCTAGATAACTTTCTCTCTTTCTTTGTTTTAAGATTAATTTGATATCAATTATTCTAAACCACTACTAATATTTCAACACATTTTAGTGATATGGAGGCTTATATATAAACCACACGATACTGTACATACATTTTTTCGTATGACAGCTGAACTCCTGACTTGTTATTATAAGAAGTTTTTTGACGTCCACTTTGAGTCATTGCTTTTAAACCCAATTAGCGAATATAACATTAAACAATCTATGATTTCTATTACATTCAGTTTCCTTCATTTCATTTTCTGCCTTTAATGGCATTAGTTGTCAGGATTAATCATACAATAATGGCACTCTACATACATTCATATAATTGCTTTCTTTCAAATTGCCGATACGCATTAAAGGTTGTGTACATACCCATATATAATATGTATTATATACTCGATTATGTATGTACTTTCAAAACATTTCCGTGTATTTCTTAACATTTCCGCAAAAACCAAGGTATTCCTATTATTGTCTTACTGACAGTATACAATATAATCACTTAAGTTTCTCAAGAATTTGTAATTCAATATTTTTATTTTCTACCAAAATCCTAAAAGACTCCGAGTATTTCATTTAACCATTATTGACCTACTCAGAAAATTTCAATGTTAGTTTTGGTGTTTTTAGTTTCAGTACGAACCGTTGAGATTTAAAAAAAAAATTGGTTTGTGTAAATTTCCTAAGGCTTGAAATTGACAGGTACATGCGATTGTGCGATAGTGGATTACAGATACTAGTGAATACCTGGGGTGTATTGTTTGCATAGACTTCATGTCAATTTTCAAATGAACCGAAATTTCAAAATTACGTGTTGATTATTTACTCACCCAAATTAGTGTGTCTATGGTAATATTTGCTTTTGATTTAACTGCGATTTGGAAAATTTCACCTACAGCGGAACTGATTTTAAGTTAACAAGCATTAGCATTTGTAAATCCAAACTAATAACAAAAAGTCTTTTTATGAAAAAAATTAAAATGTGAAATGACAAGGCGTTGAATTGATAAATCTCTAGTATTCACCCTCGAGATAACTGATTATCTGCATTGTTGCAGATATTAAAGAATTTTGAAAATATATATCTTGAAGTTTCTTAAGATGTTATCTTTAATCTTTATCTTTATCATTAGATATTTTTAATGATCAACCCAATTTTATTTCAGAATTGTTTAAATTTTTACTAATTTATTATTTACAAGGAGTTTTTTAATAAATATCTATAAAAACTTCTTATTTACATAATTTCTGTATAAAAAAGAAAAATATTATACCAGGATTTTCTTAATAATGTCAATTCTAGACAAAAATTTTATTGGCACTCTAAGTAAAATTAAAAAAATTTTAAAATAAATTATTATATTTATTTTCCAAAAAATAATTTTAAATTAAATTATTAATTTAAATTATTATTTATTGTTTTAGGCCACGCCGTCGTTCGGGCTCAAGTATAGTTGTGATCGATGGTGACGATTTAAAACCATGTTTACCGGACGACTACATCAGTAGTCAACATTATCGACAACATTCTGGTGATATTAAAGAGATTGATCAAGAAATGTTGACAATGCTTTCTGTCAATCAAGATAATGGTAAGTCTTGCATTTTTAATATATAAGTATTTTAACCAGATCGACTGATAAGTTTGTAGAATAATAAATAAAATAACAACGTTTTAGCTAAAGTGGATTTTATGCATTAACGTAACCTCCCTCAAGATTATATAAGATCATAATATTATCATTTCAGCGCTTTTCTGACTCTTTAATGCCTCGATATGTTAGAAAAATTAATATTTGCCTTTAAACTATGTAAGTTTCGGCGGTGATTTTTTCAACGGAGCCAAGTCTTTTTTCATAAAGCATATTTTTTTTTGAGATCTTCAAATAGGTAGGAATTCCTGGTCCAAATCTAGCAAATATGTTTGTTGCGAAAGACAATCCACGTATAATTTGTAAATTAAACTATGGTAACTTACGACTTTTGACAAAGCACATTGTCTTAGTAAAAGTGAACTTTTCTGTTCATAAGATGAAGCTGTTGTTTTGCGATTTCCTTCTTCAAGCGCACCAATGGGACTATATACCGATCGCTATTGATATCCACTTTATATGTATTTTGTGAATAAAATTCCACGCGCAATGATCAGTCAGCACACGAAATTTCTTTGAATCCATAGTTTTGAAAATATAAAGAGTAGCGTCACTAAATCTTACTTACGTTATTAATTAGTTGGGCATTGCAGACGTAAGTTAACCTGAGCGACATTCACTGCCGCTAGTTAATCCTAGACTTCCTCTTTGCTTTTATTGGAGCGATGTTCCATAAGGTGGGTTCCCAGTTTAACGCATAACTATATATATCCATGAGGAACCAATCGCTGCACACATTTGTTCATTAAGCAGGGATGACTGCAGTTATCCAGAGTGGGGCATGTGGTGGCAGTGTGTCAACTTTGAGAGAACAGTGATAAGGTATGGTGGTAGTTATCAAATTAAATGCAAGCAGGCCTTCTGATTTGTATGTTTACTACTTTCACTCTCCTTACTACAACAACTGTAACTATATCAGTTATCTTGTAGACATCTTGAAATTTTGACAGATATCATTTGATATGGCAACTACTTCTTAAAATTTACATGGATTTAATAGAAGCTCTTTCAGTATAATATCTCAAGGATTTATCAGACAATTTGTTATGTATTTATATATATATTTATATAATATAATATAATATGCAATTTTACTATATTTAAATTATTTATAGGTCCACATCGTGAGATGGCTGTCGATTGTCCAGATACTTTTATCGCACGTAATAAGACACCACCACGTTATCCACCACCCCGTCCACCGCAGGTAAATATTGTTAAATCTAGCATAACTAAAACAACACACACCTTCAATACAAAAACAAAAACAAACACATTACCAACAAAACCATCATCCCATGATACCATCATAATCGATAACATTAAATCCCACATTATCAAAACCAATCCAAGTACCAATGCATTAACCAATAACACAATGTCCAAATGCACTACTCAACTCATCACAAACACACACACCAATACATATCCAAAATGTGCACAAACTAAAAACGGTAAAGGTAAAGGTAATGGTAATATATTAATTGATGCATATCATTCTAAACATGATCCACAACATAATCAACAACAACAACAACAACCCACACATCATCCACACGAACAAACAACATGTGATTTACATTTAAAAACAACAACAAATAAATTGTTTTCAACATCGTCTTCGTCTTCGGCATCGGCATCGTCATCGTCATCTCCAACATCATCATCGTTATCATCATCATCATCACCATCATCAACATTACTTACACCAAAACATATAACAACAACAAATGAAATTGGTCTTCTTAATGATACAAATGAACAATTGCAACAACAAAATCTATACAATGAACAACTGCAATATAAATTGGATCAAATCGAAAATTATGAAAATAACTTGCAAACGGAATCACAACAACAACTACAACAACCACAACAAATACAGCACCAGCAACAGTTACCATTTAAATCAGCAAGCACACATAATACACAACAACAAATACAATCGCAACAACAACAACAACAACAGTTGGGCAAACAGCAAACACAAAGTGTAAACCAAAACTCCATAGCGACAATAACAACAACAGCAACAACAACTGTTACAAAAACAACAACCACATTAAACTCATTAGAGAAACTAAAATACATAACGAGTAATAATCCGAATGGCGGAAGCATAGCACATCCTTTGCATAGCGATGAACTAGAAATTATGGCCGATGGCCTATATCGTAAGGGTTCATCGTCGCATTCCTCATCGTATGATGAAGCGTTAAGCAAAAAATCTTCGGAATCATTTGATTCCATATCATATAACAATTTGCAAAATAATAACAATAATAGCAATAATAGCAACAATAATATGTCGACTTCGACCACAACAACAACGTCGTCAGCCTCGCCCATAAAGCAGACAAACGGTGGCATTGGCGCTATGCAACGTGCCTGTGGCGATGGTTCACTCAATAGTACACGCAGTTCTAGCTCATCAACTGCAATTGCAGATGATGTTGTGGGCATAGCACCACCAGAATACACCGAATTACGTGAATTTTCCAATTCTAATAAAAATATTAGCTGCAATTTTTCAACACACGTTGTTAAGCACCGTGAATTGCCTGTGGATGTGCCGGATAGCTTCATTGAAATAATCAAAACAACTCCACGTTATCCGCCACCACCACATTTATCGTCTCTGTCATCGCAATTATCGAATTCCTCTGCCTCAACGGCAAATACCGCATTGAGCAATATCAATACTTCGCTTGCTTCCACCAATAGAGTTAGTCATGTGACGCCTTCAGCTAGCGATAATTTTAATGGTATAACTAGTTTGGGTGCAGGTACTAACTCTGCAATGGGTTTGTTAACAACTACCTTCTCTAATTTGGAACAGTTTGCTCCAACATTACAACAACAACAACAACAAGCAACACCAAAACTAAAACAGTTGGGAAAACAGAAAAGTTCATTGTCGACCTCATCTTGTGGTTCTTTGGAGGATGTGCAAAAATGTGGTTTGCAATTTGCGAACACTGCAGTTAGGCAGCAAGCACAACCTCAAGTTCCAACAGCTACTATGGATGGAGACAACGTTTCTAAAATGTCCTCTCAAATTTTGACGACCAAACATAATAATGATGAGGTTGGTTTTCTTTTCGTTAATTTACTTTAAGTTGATTTCTTTAGATTCTTTGTTGTTAAATTTCCTTCCTTTCCTTTTGTAGAATATCTTTTATGATTTTTGTTTTTGTAGATATTTTGATTTCCTTGAAGTTTGTTTGTTTTTTTTTTTTTACTAGTTATGTTAGTTGCTATTATTTTTTATTTAATCATCGTGCAGATTTCAAATGTGGAATAGGTTGTAATCGTTACCTTGTTAATATCAAAAATATATGTATTGTAAGTTTATATTAATAATAGAACGGGTTAACTATTTGTTCTACTAAAACAGGACTTTATTATTATTATTTTTATTTTATAATAGAATAGATGGCGTCCTTAAGTTTTACCTGTTTAACGAAAGCATCTTATTTGATGTTTCATTCCTAGAGTTACAATTGAGAGTTCGTGTATGATCACATTCTACTAGGTTTAGCTAGGTTATAATTTAATTATTTTACATTATTTATATAACTACTTATTATGGATGTACATAACTATAATATGGATTTCTAAAATAGTAAACACTCTGATATAAATTATCCTTACTCCAGATCTACCCACCATGACTACTATAGATGTTGCTCTTTGGTTTATGAGAAGTACCGAATAGCTTTAAAGCCTTTCCTATTATTTAATTTTTTTTTTAAATTAATTTGTGGATCTACTATCATTCTTGATATTTCTTACGTAAATTGTACTTACGCCAAAGAGACTATTATAGATTTTGCTTGTTAGTCCCTGTTTTCTCTAAAAATATCCCGATATTTTTATTATATTTAATTTAGATAACCTTCTCGTTTAATGTCGTGTTGTGTTAGTAATCACTTTAAATAATGAACTTAATTTCTTATATAAGGGATTTTTTTTTATCTTTATCTCTTATATAACATTTAACAATTTGAATATATAGGTCTTCATATATATCAGAGTTTCATACCATGGAAATCTTATAAGAGATCACTTTATCTTTATCTCTTATATAATATTTATTAATTTGAATTTATAGATCTTTATATATATCAGAGCTTCATGCCATGGAACTGTTATAAGAGATCACTTTATTTTTATCTCTTATATAATATTTATCAATTTGAATTTATAGATCTTTATATATATCAGAGCTTTATACCATGGAACTCTTATTAATCTAGATTGAGGTTAAGGCAACTATGTGCAGAATTTTTAACATCGTAATGCTGTTAATGTTAACTTTAGAATTCTTTCCATTTGTCAAAATTGAGATTTTATTATCAATGACTGGTCACTTCATTCCAATTTAGTTGGAACAAATTGAAAAGGTTGAACACATTAATATGAAATTATCTCAGAAGTTTTAGTAGGTCAAGACTTCACTTATTCTAAGTAGCTTGTGCCTCAGTTCAATATTTTAAATATTGAAAATGTAAGAAGTAGACTAAATTAAGGCTCGTTCTTACCAAGATAAAGTGTAATAAATAAAGAAGTGATGGGTATACCTACACAATTTCCGCAGTGAAGTGTGACTCTTCAATAACTTCTAGAAATTCTTGCTTAAAAAGTAACTATAGCTGTATATTTTTTTTATTTATGTGAGAAATTATTTTTAATTTCTTATTAGTTAAATTTTATTTCTATTTTACTATTATTTCACTTTAATTAGTTCAATTTGTAAATTTTCATTTCGATTAGTTTGGTTCGTTTTCTGGGTAATAGCTTGTAGAATTGTCCTTTATAAATGTCGTACAATTTTCAACAATATCTTCCACTTAAAAGTTTTTAACCCAACAAAATTTTCCTACAACTTAACTAGCTTTCCATGTATTTCTCTTGGCTACTGTGTGTGTATGAAGTAAAATTCCAATTCCAAAATGAAGAAACTATTTTTATTCTATTAGTTTTACATTTCTTTTTTTTTTTTTCTTCAAATCGAATGTTTCAAAATGCATTCTAAGAATATTGTAAAGTTTTCCTTCGTCTACCTCCCATCACATATTACATATCGCCGCATCAGTGCATCACAACTAAATGCAGTATTTAATTAAATGAATCACAATCATGTATATATAAAATTGCATATACGCATGCACTCTTACATCCTTCTATATCCATTTACACTCTAGCTTACATACTGACACGCCTACTAATTTACTCGCATATTTGCATATACATACACGCATACACGCTCTGTTATCACAGAAACTTTTGACATATTCCACGAAACTTGGTTCTGTTAGCTGAAAGGCAATGCCGCTGTGCTAACATGAGAACTCGGAAGAAAATTTTAATTACAAAACGAAATTTTATGAAGTCTATCATCGGCTTTGTATGAGTTCCTTTGAGGAGGGCATGTTGAGCTGGGCATGTAGCAACAGCAGCGTCGACATCTTATGGAAAATTTAATTTTTCTTATTTTCCGTTGCTTGTCACTTTACGAAGTGTGAGAACATTTTAAATGTCATTTAAATGTCTGTAAGTGCACCCTACACACATGTTGATACAGCACATTTTCGTTGCTGTTTGAAGTTTGATATTTGAAGTTTTAACCGAAATTGTTGTCACTCATACGCCTACGAGCACAGGCGAGTTGAACTTTTGCCTAACACGAAAGTTGTGCTCTGATGTGATTGTGTTACAAGTTTCAGGTGACAAAAGATGTTAAAATGATCATTTGAGGTTACTTGAGATGTTAAGTTTGTTAGAATTTAAACTAAACGGTAAAATAATATGTTCATTTATTTTTTATATTAAATCATAAACTAAATTTATTTAAAGACTAAACATTCCGATTTGATCTGAGGTCAATTATTGCTTAGTCTAATGAAGAGATAAACAATAATCTAGTCAAGGCGCAAAAAGGGGTTTTGAAGAACCTCGCAGTTAATAGAGAGTAAAAGTGCTCAGGTGCACTGACTCAACTAGCTTCAACATAATTAATTATACAAGTTACTATGTGATTACAACTAGATTTATTGATCATTTTTAAAATGCAATTATAAGAGCTAAAATACTCTTAAACAAGACACAACAGGGAAGATTTCACGCATACATATCGCCCACTGTCATTCCGGAACAATATAGTATCACAATTCTCAATTCTCCAATCCTCAATCTTTGCGTATATCATATACTGTAGTACTTATCATTAGTTTTTAAAAAAGATTGTTTCTTAAATTAATTTTTATTTCCATTTTTTAAACATATTTAACTCTATATAAGGATTCTATTCTTTATAAATTATATAAATTAATATTATAATGCAACAAAAACGCTCATTTTATTCGAGACATATAAAATGGTGGCTCCCTTAACATAGTAATAGGGATTATACTAGAAATCAATAAAGATTAATTACTAGTAATAGTAGTATTATTTTGAAAACATAATCTGTAGTAATATTTATTTATGAGGAAAACCGATGCGGTGTTGATCTCCTTAAAATTGATTTATGATATATTTTATGAACATTAAACGAGTATCAATAGCCACTCTTCATTGGGTGACATAGACTAATAGCACTCTAAACATATGTTCTATCTAATATTTCTTAACAAGGAAACAAAACATATATGATGGTGGCTCTTTCAAAGTAGTAATAGAGATTGAACTAAAAATTAATAAGTGTTAATTACCAATAATATTTTTAGAAACATAGTCTGAAATAATATTTATTAATGAGGAAAACCGATACGGTGATGACCCCTTTAAAAATGATTTATGATATAACTTATCAGTATTGTATCAGTAGCCAATCTACATTGGCGGACATAGAGTGATTGCCCTCTAAACATATGTTCTATGTAATATTTCTTAATAAGGGAACCCCATGGAGTAATGGTTCTCCTTAAATATGATATTTACAAGTTATGAGTCTTTGTATGTGCAGTAAGTCTTTACATATGAGGTGATGGTCCACTAAACGTGTAACCTAAATAATTACTTTTCGTAATAGAGACCATAGAGTAACAAATAAGATTGATTCATAGGGTATAAATGTGGCAGTGGCGCCTTTAACGTATGTTATGTTTCATAATAAATGAGACCCATGGAGTAATGGTATTTCTTAAAAATGATTTATAAATGCAACTAGTCCTAGTATGTGATATATGTGACAATCATCTCCAAAATGTGTGTCTAGAGTGAAAAAACCTTATGGGATAATGAACCATCCCCTGTTAAATGTGCTTTATAAGGTTTTAGTATGCAAGTGTCAATCCCGACATAAAAGTCATAGTGTCTTTTTGTTGTGCGATAAATGACATATTTTGAGATATGTCAAATAATAGCACAGCTATTATTTTAGTACTTCATTTGAATAACTTTTTTATTATTAAAATTTTCAGATTCCATCGTTTCGGTTTTTTCCTTATTGTATACCGTTTAAGGTGTCTTTTTCGTTTTATCTATTAAATACATGTTAAAACCATCTTCATATTTTGTAAAATGTATATGTAATCCGACTCTTTGTTTGTTGCTATTGGGGGTAGAGCAGTTTATTGTCCATATACCCGATGATGTTAGGGAGTGGATATATATTGACAAGTGTTTAAATCTTTATATTATAAGGTTCACTAAAAAATTTCAATTAATTGTCTTTAAATAAAACAGTTAATTAAGCATAATATCCTTAATTATAATTAATATAATTAGATTTTTCAAAGTTAATTATCTCTAAAGATAGCATTTTCTTAATAGAAACCATTGTTTTAGAAGGCTGTTTTGAATAGTACTGAATTACAACAACAACATTTTTATTATATATTAATTGTGTTTTTGACTGAGCATTATCAAGTACTAATTATTGGTAATATTTTTTATTTGTTTTATTTAATTATTCGTAAATAAGTTTTTGAGGCTCTAAGTCACAAAGATTGAACTCGTGCTTTGCCAAATTTAATTATATCATCTTTCTTTTTTATAGCTTAAGAAACAAATATCTATATTTACTATAGCAATTGTTTGTTTTTTTTTTCAATTTTATTTATATCTCGACAGTTTTTTATC